CCCCACCCCCGTTTCCGCCTCTCACCCACCCACCCAACTTTCCCTCCCTTTAATTTTACGCAGCCTTCCCGGCAGTGCCACAGTGCCAAGGCATCTCCCCTCTTGCGCTGCCCCTGCTGTGGCCCTCTCCGCCGCCTCCTCCGTTACGTGTTCCTGTGTTACGAGCAGAAGGTGAGGTGTGTGACGGGTAAAATGTGACGTGAGGAAGGTGAGATCCGTGACGTGTGGTGTACGGAAGGTGAGGAGTGTGACGTGTAAAATGTGACGTGAAGAAGGTGAGATGTGGTGTACGGAAGGTGAGGAATGTGACGCGTAAAATGTGACGTGAGGAAGGTGAGATGTGGTGTACGGAAGGTGAGGAATGTGACTCGTAAAATGTGACGTGAGGAAGGTGAGATGCGTGACGTGTGGTGTACGGAAGGTAAGGTGTGTGACGCGTAAAATGTGACGTGAGGAAGGTGAGATTTGGTGTACGGAAGGTGAGGAATGTGACGTGAGGAAGGTGAGATGCGTGACGTGTGGTGTACGGAAGGTGAGGTGTGTGACGTGTAAAATGTGACGTGTAGAAGGTGAGATGCGTGACGTGAGGTGTACGGAAGGTGAGGTGTGTGGCGTGTAAAATGTGACGTGTAGAAGGTGAGATGCGTGACGTGAGGTGTACGGAAGGTGAGGTGTGTGGCGTGTAAAATGTGACGTGTAGAAGGTGAGATGCGTGACGTGTGGTGTACGGAAGGTGAGGTGTGTGACGGGTAAAATGTGACGTGAGGAAGGTGAGATGCGTGACGTGTGGTGTACGGAAGGTGAGGTGTGTGACGTGTAAAATGTGACGTGTAGAAGGTGAGACGTGTGACATGCGACGTGTTACGTGGGACAGACATGGCAAAGAGATGAGAAATGTGACGTTCAGAAAGTGAGATGCGTGACGCGTGACTGACAAGCCAAAGGGTGCGTGACGTGTGACCAGCTGCTATAAGAGTCATTTCGCAGTGCTGTCACATACCAAAATGAGACGGAACTGCTGATGTTACGTTCACGAAAATGACGCAACTTGTACCGAGTGTCTTGTCGACAGCGTGAGATTGCTCATCAGAGTGTCAAAGGAGACGAAAGCTATTCATCTCGCGGGGGGGGAGGGGGGTAAACGTCTTGTAAGTGGGGCTGAGAGGCCGCCGAGGAGGAGGAGGAGGAGGCCGCGGAGG